GTAGTGACGTCATGGCTGTCGCCGGCCAACGAGTTGGTGTTTTTTCAATGTATGCTTCAGACACGGGTCACGACGAGGCGTTCCCCATAGCGACCCCTAGAGGACGCAGTTCGAAGTTCCCATGAAAGGGAACACTATATACATTGATTCCTATTAAAGCAACTGCATTAAAGTTTTTCAGTCAAGAGTAGTGAGTGATTTATCTCTTTGTATATGGTGTTTTATTAATATTAAAGTCTGCATGAAATCAAAATTGACTTTATTTACTTTACTAGCGCACATTGCTAGTCTTGATGTGAACAATTAATCCGTGTAAGTTAATCCGCTGAAAAAAAATGTTTGTCTTGGTAATCTTTAATCAAAATCTGAACATTTGCTTCCGCTCTGGAATGGCATTCCTTCTCTCATGACGTCAGTTTGACGGCTTGGGCAGAATATATCCTTAAACACACCCCTCCAACCGTTAGGTTGCTATGAGTGAGAGACAGAGAGGAGGAGCGCAAAAATAAAATGACGCCCTCTATTCAATATTCTGTTTCAGCTGGAAATACGTCACTACACTGAAATAAAGTCGGCAGCAACTTCTGGTTAATGTGGACTTTAAAGGAATAATTCACCCAAAAATAGGCTAGTGTTTTATTTTTATACCTTCATTTACTCACTCAAAAGTTGTTTTAAACCTGAATGAGTTTCCTTCTTCTGCTAAACATAAACGCTATTTTGAAGAAGGTGGAAAACCAAACAGTTGTTGGTCCAGTGACTTCCATAGTATTTTTTTCCCCTACTATCAAAGTCTATAAGGACAAGCAACTGTTTGGTTACCCAGATTCTTCAAAAGATCTTATTTTGTGTTCAGCACAAGAAAGAAACGTTTAACCAGTAAGGCTTTAAAGCAGATGCAAAAAATATCTACTTTTGTGATTGTGAATAAGTAGACCGTAGACCGGCACGTAGACCGGTCACGTAGCCTGTATTTTTGACTTTCAAACATTTTTCTGCTTTTGATTTATGTCGAAGATGGTTGGATTTGTTTGAAATACCTATGAAGAAAATGAATGGGTAAAAAAATAAAAACAGGAACCAAAACTGCCAAAAAGTTTGTGGGTGTTCACTGTCCTCTATATGAAGTCAAACATTTCTCATCGAATTCTTCCAAGACCAACTGATCTGAGGCTTTGCTGTCCACATTAATTTTTCAGCTCTACACTTGTATATGTTTCAATAATTGTCTATTTTATTTCTAAAAAGAGATTTTAAGAAGGTTTTCCAGTTTAAAATATCTAGAAAACCTTTAAACAAGGATTTTTTTTTGAGAAGTGACATTTCATAGATATTAAGAATCTTATTAATATATGTGTATTTTGTCTTATGTATTTTGGTAGATTTTGTTTCACTTATTTTTAACTTGTTTATACCTGAAACAGGAAAAAATCTGCCAGTGTATTTAGACAAAATACATTCACAATAACTAAATATTCGATACGTCCGGCTTTTATGGCTCATATAGTATGATATAGGAGAATATGGAGCTTATACTTAAGGAGGTAAAAAATGTCTCAGTTTAATTCAGAAGCCCAAACTGAGCAAAAAGATGCAATTTGGAGCAGATATTTATATGCTCAAAAACTAAGATAAATTCTGGTTGCTTGTAATGTAAATCAGTGAGATCGCGATAACAGTTTAGTCATACTTATATAAAATGCATATAAACATTAGTTGTCACTCTGTATCTCCCAATAATATGTCAAAGCAAAATTATATTTAAATGCTTAATTTTTATGATCAAAGCCTTGTAGTTTTTATTTTATAGGGACAAACATATAATGCAATGCAATACATGATGACTGATAGAATAAAAGATTTCTCTAAGAAATATTGTATGGAGAATCAAGTAATTCCCAGTTAGTGTTTATCTTGAAATATTACTAACAAAATAAAAGTTATTCTTATGTATACTCTTATGTAAAACTAAGTTTTTACAGCAAAAATACACAATGTAGTTTTTAGAATGATACTAAAAGGCCTTTTACTGACTAAAAAAAATATAAACTACCAATCAGACGACAGAAGGCATGGAGTAGATAGTCTACAACAGGTTTTTCAGCAAGTTTTTGATCATGTTAATTTAGAGGCCTTCTGAAATTTGCATATCAAATATGACACACTAGGCTTTAAAGGGACAAAAAGATACTGTTATTTCTCTGAAAACTAGTCTTAATATCTTACGCATTGCCACTTCTAAAGTAAATTATTCTTGTTTTAAGGATTTTTACAGATATTTTAACTGGGAAGCAAGTAAAAAAAAACTAATTAAAAACGTTTTGCACTATACTTGCATAAAACATAACTGAGAACTTCATTAAGATTGCAGCGTTATGCAACAGCAGCCTACATTCACAATTATACAACAGACACTTTTATTTAAAGTCACAAAGTAATTCCAAGCTATACATAGCATTAGTTCCCTGAGAACTGAATCCATGACCTTGATGTTGCAAGCGCCGTACTCTACAGGAACCTCTGAGCTATAAGACTCATGCATGTCCTTCGTTTTCCTTTACTCGCTGAACTTAACGGCAGACTTTCTCCTTTACTGTATAATCACATGACTCATCTCTCTATAAATGTGCTGACTTCCCATTTACTAACGCACCCCTCCTCCTTGTGTCCCTCTCTCTCCTCTTTGCTCTCTCGTTCCTTCATGTCCTCCTTCTCCTTCTGTGCTTTCTCTCTTCCTTCAGAGCATAACCACCTGAATAATGTCACGCATCCTACTTTGAGTCCCGTAATGACTCTGTCCCAGCCTCACAACAACATGGGCTTCAACAAATACTCCTCTCTCAAGACCATGGGTAAGACACACACACAAACAGCTGTCACATCTTGTAATGCACACCATAAATGCCACACATGTTCATCAAGGTCACTTTATCCACAAACACTGATTACCATTGCAAATGATTCCCAGTGTCATTGACTGCAATGTAATCACATATGCAAATATCACCACTCAGATCAAGAGGAAAAAAACCCTGACATGTTATTACATGTAAATCACAGGTGGATGATCTCAGGAGCATGTACTGTACATATACGGATATGCTAATAATGGACATAAACACACACTATGTAGTGTGACCTTATCAATCACAGCATGACTCGAAACACAGAGGGGCAAATTCACTAAACAGCCACGCTAGTGTTTGTTCTTAGCACATTCCCTCCCGAGACACATAGAAATACATACTCGCTGAGAATTAGGGGCTGATGGGAAATTGGTTGAAATGTACTATGTTACATGAAATTAAGGAAAAATATATGCCATATGCTGCATGACCAAGAGCATAAAAACACGAACAGACTCAAACACACTAAAGCTTATATCTTCATAGTGTATATGAACATACACTATTCTAATAACCTGGTTGTACCAAAGGAAAAAATAAATAAAAATATAAATATATCAGTTCGTTTGGGGTTGGTCAGATTTTTAAAATGTTTTTAAAATAAGTCTATCGTGCTCACCAAGGATGCATTTATTTGATCAAAAATACAGTAAAACAGTAATATTGTGAAGTATTACTACCATTTAAAATAGCTGTTTTCTATTGTAATTTAACATGTAATTTATTTCTGTGATGGTAAAGCTGAATTTTCAGCATCATTATTCAGTGTCACATGATCCTTCAGAAATCATATTAATATGCTAATATTTGCTGCTCCGGAAACATTTCTTTCTATTATTATTAATGTTATGAAAACCGTTTTTCCGGCGTAATATTTTAAATATAATAATTTGTATTTTCTGGATTTTTGATGAATAGAAAGTTTAGAGCAGCATTTATTTGAAAGAGGCCTACTTAAGTTTTTTGTAACAATATACATTTCTTTACATTAACTTGCATCCTTGCTGATTAAATGATGAGTGATATTTTTAAAGGGATAGTTCACCCAAAAAATGAAACTTATGTCATTAATTACTCACCCTCATGTCATTCCAAACCCATAAGAACTTCGTTTATCAAATTAAGATATTTTTGATGAAATCCAAGAGCTTTCTGACCCTGCATAGACAGAAACAACTACCACGTTCAAGGCCAGAATGGTAGTAAGAACATTGTTAAAATAGTCCATGTGACATCAGTGGTTCAACTGTAATTTTATGAAGATACGAGAATACTTTTTGTGTGCAAAGAAAACAAAAATAACGACTTCATTCAACAATTTCTTCTCTTCCGTGTCGACGTGCGTTCACGAGAGTACCACAAAGAATGCGTGTGGTGCTGCTGACGCAGGAGCTGGCATTCTGACGTAGAGCATGCGCTGCACCTTGTTTACAAGCAGAGGAAGGCACACACATGCGTCGTGATACTCTCGTGAACAATGCAATACACAATGCATGTTGAGAAAGCTGTGTTGATAAGGATATATTTACAATTAAATTCACATACTATATAATTTCAATATATAATTTCAAAAATCAATAAGAAATGGATACATTTATGTAATGAATTTGTAGAATGAAAAATTTGATTTTAAAATTAAGCCTATTTTTAGAATTTTTTTAGAAAGATTTTTTTTTTTTTGAGGTTCTGGACAGTTTTATTAACATTCTTAAGATTGTATTTCTGCATAGCTATTGTGGGATCTTACTAATATAAAACATATTATTCCTATTGCACATATTTAGCCCACATCAAAGAGATATGAGAGGATAAAACACAAAGATGGAGAGGGATTTTTTTCCCCTTCAAACAATGTGTAGTTATATGGTACGTCCACGTACATGCAGTCTCTGGCATGGTGTCTACTGTTGGATTATTGCATTTGGAAAGCTTGAGATGGATCAGCCCTGACTGCGCTGGCAAAGAGATTGGATGGGGAGAGTTCAGCAGGGCAAGTGGAGGGAAAGATGAGAGGATGATGGGAGAAAAGAAGGAGGAACATGCGCGTGGGGAGAGGGTGTAATGAATAGGGTCGGAGCCAACTTGTGGCAGGTGCCTAAGACAGCTTCCCAAGCACCATCTTAATTAAAGAATAACGTTTGGAAACAGATGGCCAGATATAGAGAGAGGCAAACTAAATTAAACAGAGAACGCTGTGAGGAAAGAAACAAAGAGAAAGGCTAAGAAAGATAAGAGAAATAGTACTTGTGGTAAAGAGGGGAAGAGACAGTAAGAAAGGAAGAAAAGACATGGACAGAGAGGCTGCTGGTACATTTACCGTCTGTTCATTAGTTAGATACATATGTTCACTCTCTAAGCATTTCCTGTGTCTGACATCATCAGGCCGTTATGTCACGTTCTCTCCTGTTGCAGTGCCTGAATGCCCCTGAGGACCACACACACACACACACACGTTTTTCTATCAGGATTGAGACTTTATATTGACTGCTGTTTTATTTATACTGAGGAAATTATGTGTTCAGTATCCTATCTGAACACATCTGCTGTAAATGATAACATCACATACTTAACATCCTATACTTAAGGTAATTACTAAAGACCAGACCTTGGCACTAAAATAAAACTTTTTGCAGTGATAAAGTAAAAATGAAATATCCCTAGATGCCCACAAAAGGAGGTTTTGTCAGATTTATCAAACCTTACTATTATGCAAAGTTGTGAGAAGGTGCAAAAATAAATAACAATAAATAAAATAAAATATGGTTTGATAAATTTTATTACTTTCTATGCTTATTCAAAATGGTAAATTTTCTGGTTTAGCCTATAATTCAAAGTGTGTGTGCAGTTGTGTAATTGTGCAGTACTCTTTTTCAGGCTAGCTGTGTGTATATGGCATAAGTGTGTGTGTGCTCGTGTGTTAAATCTGTTCGTCTCTTGCTCATTATCAGGGTAATACGTCTCGGTGTCCTTCTCTTTAAACACACTCCCTAAATAATTCATGCCTACTCAACGCACACTGCCCACATTACCTATTCACTGGACCTTCACTGGAAGTCGACTGAATTGTGATTCTTTAGATCCTCTCTTCTCCTTTAAATTCAAATCAAAACACTCCTGAATTAAAAAGCACATGAATGCGCTAAAGGATGTGCACACTTAAAAACATAATATGAGCTAATCTGCATGTCTAACCGCATTAGCAAATTGCTGCTTGATTTACAATCTACAGGAACAAATTAATATCTTCATTTGGGTAAATTTTGTCATATTTCTAAACACAGGTTTTGTCACTTCTTCAAACACATAGTGCTGAGACGTAGCTTTGGCCCTCAGCATGCTGCAACATCCCTAAAACCCCTTCAGGTTTCATTTTGACCTTCTAAGCTGATTGTAATACTAACCGACATTCGCTCATGCACGACTACAAAGAGTGAGCGCGTCCATACTGATGTGGTCAAAAAGAATCATAACAGTAGCTGCTAATGCCAAGTTACCACAGTTTTACTTTAGTGACTACAGTATTTTGCCAGAAACAATGATTACCATCGGGCCAGGATATATACGTTTGAGATCACATACAATGAAATTATGCTAGATGCTTGTGTGCCTTGTCAGCAGGTATTCCCCTCATGTGTTAGCCGTGACTCAGTCGATAGTGAGAAAGGACAGTATTGGAAGTCAGAATGGAAAACAAGAAAAAGGAGACAAAAATGACAAAACAGTGAAGCAAGGTTGTTTAAGTCTGAGGGCAGTGAAGCGAGTGGCCTGTCTATAGCTTGCAGCACTCAGTGGAGATGGGCTAATTTGACGAGACAGGCTAAAAGGCTAACTCTACTCTGTCAACTGTTGCTAACATGCTAACCCACTTCAGTCTGCAAAAGAATAAAATAACCAGCCAATTTTATACAGTTTACAACCCTAACTGGCGTCTATCACATAAGTAGCTAACTTTTACCAAGCCACTGTAAATATCACTAATCAAAATATTACACACAATAGTGCATAATAATTATAGTCCTGCAATTAGTGTTGCTTTCATCAACGAAAATTGACTAAATATCTTCGTCAATGAACCTTTATCACGTGACGAAAACGAGACGAGACGCAACGTAAATGCTGGTCATGTGACGATGACTATAATTAAATGTATAATGCAATATTGTTGACGAATAAAAACGAGACTAAATGTGGTTTACAAAATAAAAACTATGCTAAAATGTCTCTTCATTTTCGTTGACCAAAATGAGACGAAACGAAATGTTATAACGTTATTTCGTCTCGTTTAGTCGCATTATTATTATTATGTTGCAGTATTTCTGTTTCCTGTGTCTCACTTCAGGGGCTGCATCAGGTCGCACTGCGCAGATGCAGGCAACGTCACTTCCTCAAGCCCCACTCGTGGCATTATTTAGACCAGTGTTTCCCAACCGGGGTGCCGCGTCTGTCGAGAGCAGGGGTGCCGTGTAAAAAATCCTTTTTTAATATTTTTATTAGTTCACCACTCAGGATTTACTTTCACGTGGTGTGACGCTCTGCGTATTATCCCGCTCTATGTGTGTGTGC